CTAAGGAAAAGGAGGTGGTTCATTGTCTGTTGTCACATTTCATTCTGTATGAGGGATGAAATGGAGGGATCAATATTTTCAAATGACAAAGCATACTCATCCTATTTGTTATTATTATTATGGTAAAAATTCCCGAATTGATCCTGTTTCACAAACCATAAGATCACACAACAACTGTAAGCTGTTTTTATTACTGCTTTTTGTAGTTTTATCCTGCAAAATGTCAAAACAAAAGTGTCTTAACACTTTTGCTGATTCTTGATAAAATGGAATAAAGAAGAAAGACACTCCACAAAATTCAGGATTTTGCAAAATAGTTTCTTGACAATCCTGAAAAATCAGAGCAAAATTTTGTCAAGTTTGATTCCACCAATCCAAGTTTCAAAAAAAAAAAGAAAACACATTTTCTGAAGCAACATTAAAATGACTGCACGCACTGAGAGGAAAAAATGCACATGTCAAGGCCATTGATACTGGAATACTGGAAACAACTATGGAGTTCGTCAAAGCTTTAGGATAAAATGACATTCATGAGAGCTATGGGTCTCTAGCGAAATTCAAAAAAAGAAATGGAACAATCACAAAAATCATATGCGACAAAAGCAAAAATGCTAATGAAGATGACTGTGTCTTATGGAAAGAAAACAAAGAAATCTTGGAAATGTACAAACCAAAAGATATCTTCAATTTCAATAAAACCAGCATATTTTATTAATGTTTACTACACAAAACATTAACTTTTAAAAAAGAGAAATGTTTTGGAGGCAAGTGCAGAAAGTTAGATCTACTGTACTGCTATGTAGAAATGTGGAATAAAATGAAAAATCAAAACCTTTACTTATGTGAAAGAGTAAAAATAAAAGATGTTTTATAGGTATTAACATGTTGAGTGCGGCGGCGGTTTCTGGGGACTGGCAGTGAACTTTCCGTGTGGCTGGTCCCTAGGGACAGGCACTAGAATTTTCGTTTGGCCGGCGTCGGTCCTCAGGACCGACAGTATTAAACTTAAAAAATAAATATAGTTTCAATGAAATGTGATCAAATTTAGTTTTAATGAAAATGTATTGAAACATTCTAAACAAAAATACGGCTTAGCTCGCTGCCGGCTGAACGGAAAGGACAGCAAATTCGGCGCCACGCTCAACATGTTAAATCACTGAACGTAGATTATGATTTCAACTATGGATGACTTCAGACATTTTTGAAAAGTGGCTAAAATATTTAGATAAATATATAGGCTATACCATGAAAATGAAAAATTGCTACAGTGATAGGGAATAGCAGTGCTCACCTTCAAGACATCAAAGACAAATATAAATATGTTAAGTTTTTTTTTTCTTCCAGTTACCACTGCAAAACTGCAGTCGATGGATCAAGGGGGATATGAAGTATTAAGACACATTATCATGACAGAATTTTGAAGAAGGCCCTACTGGAAATTGAAGGTAATCGGTCTTCATTTGTAAAAAGTTTTATGTAACTGCACATCTGAAATTGCATACATATGGAATTTTGATGTCGCTGAAAAAACTGTTCGCTCTAAAAAAGCTGGCTTCATCACCGAAATTGACACTAGTGATAACAGTCAATAATGACAAAGGGCAAGATGAGGAATTGAATAAACAATATGTGGTTGCAGATGATAAATCACGAACATTGAAGAATAATGAACGATTAAAAAGATTTTTTATTTATAGACAATAAATTCGACACTTAGGAATTCCTACCCAGAGAACATATTCAAGAGCATGAAAAATAGCCAGAAAGCGATTTGAGGATATTGAAGATGAAAACGCTAATGAAAATGAATGTATAAAATATTTGCCAGAAGATAAGTTAAATGTATTTGATACTTTATGATGCAGTTTTCAGTTTGAAAAAGTGTACTAGAAGACATTTTCTGTGCATTACAAAGACATGAGAGAACTTATGTCATGAAATACGCTTTAATATGTTCCCAACAATCAAAACATATTAAAGCAATTCATTATTTTTCAAAATGAATTTGTCATTTTCATATGTAACTTTGACAAAATGAAATGGATACATTAAGATGTATAATTTTTCATTTATACTTTATTTTGCTACAGTTTTACATTTAAAAATATTTCTCATCTTAAATCACTTTTATTATACCTTCCAACTAGCAACGTTTTTCGCAGGATTCTGCAACTTCGTTGAATAAAGGTTTGACTGTATTTTCATAATCTGCTGCACTACAGTAATTCAAGACAACTGCAGATTTTTAAATATAATATGGCAATAATTTCATTATTTTTAAAATTGTTGAAAAGTGAATCTGAGAATTCTAAGAAAGTTTCTTTTATAAATTTCCAATCAGAAAAAGATTTAAATTTTTATTGCTAAAATGCAGCCTACAATAGTCACTGCCCATGATTTCAACATGAGCTTTTTAAGGTCATTTTATTAAACTAAATGAGTCTTAAGGTACTCAATTTTGTTTTTTCTCAAGTAAAATTTTATGGATATTACATCCAATGTTTGTTAAGTAAAGTTAAAAATGCCTTTCCAGATGACCCTTAACACTACGTAAGCACTGCATATTAGGCAACAACATTTATCATTGCAAAAAAGTGATCAAACTCCCACTCTTCATGAAAATGATAAATCTTCAATATTTTTCCTTTTTACTCATTTTAATGGTACTAAAATAGAAAAAAAAAAAAAAAAAAAAAAAGTGTACACAAGTAGGTAATTTTAATTTAAAACATAGGAAGAAAGTACTTCGATTTTCGCAATAATAAAAAAAATTGACACTTCTTCCAGAAATGCCGAATATTAATACAGGACATAAGAATGCCAACTTGCATGTTACACCAAGGATTAAAAGACCGAAATCTGAGGAGTAAGCTAGAAGGCAGGTAATATAAGATGCTGCTTTCCCATTGTCTCGACAACAGGTGCAGAAGATGAATTGCCAGCACCAGTTATGATACTAAAGGAGCCATAATCATTTATCTACATGAGTCATGATTAAATTGCATTTATATGTATAAGTCATATCTTGTTGGCTGTGATTGACCAAAAATCATGTTGCAATTGAATTGTTGAGCATTCCTGGCATAAAGTGTGTATTCATAACATAGAATGCTCATAAACTGTTAAGTATATTTCAATGAAAAATTGTGAGCTAAAGAATATATCCATTTGTATTATGTAGTAAATGAAGCAGTTTATTATGCTAAATTTTAAAACAAAGTATGTGTTTCTTTTATGTTGCATACATTTTTTGAATTAATTTTCAAATACTCACAATGTGTTCTTCAGCACTACTGGTATTATTCTAATGATTTCCATAGTTCATTATATTTATTATGTTTAATTTCAATCATATATGTTAATTTAGTTGTAAAAGCACAATCTTTCCCCAACTTCTTAGAAGTCTGGAAATATATCCAGGAACTGAACTGGCCAAGAAATTAATCCATTTAATATTCTTAAGTTTCTGTAAGTGGAATATTAAAAAAACATTTTTAAACAGCAAATTATGTACCATTGTTAAATTTAAACAATGCACTATAGAAGCCATTGAAACAATGATACCCAAAATGCAACAAAATGTACTAGACAGTGATATCAACTTTATATTTATCACTTAATCATTTCATAATGAATCACTTCAGAATCTAACAAAAAATGTAAAAATTTGCTGTATAATTTGATAGAATACAAATGGGCTTGCTCTTTTTTTTTTCTAGATCAATCACTATTCATGACTTAAATGCACTCATTAATTTGTGACCTCATTTGTGTATTTTTTAAATTATTATTTTAACAAATTGGGGCCAATGATGTTTAATTAAGTGCCTTTACACTAAAATAATAATAATAATAAATAAAATCTTAACAACTCTTCTCTGTGGTCGAAGGAGATGGGAGGGTTTCTAAAATAAATTGATTCGATATCCAAACGATTGAATTCTCCCATCTTTTATGCTTCAAAAAAGACAATATAATAATACAGTTTGTTATAAAGACTCTGCTTTCCATACTAATTATATATCGTCTTGGTGACTTGACTAATCACAAAAATTTTGCTACCCCTTTGAATATATTAACTTTTTAAAATATTTTTCTCTTTAGTTAATAACTTGTAACACCTTCATAAATGAGAAATTATAAAAGAGTGAATTAAGTAATTGTACACTTTTACTTCATGAATAGGTTCAAAACGCCTGGCCATTCTATGCAACATTTATCAAACATTCTTTTTTTGTGAATAATATGTAATTATTTTCAAATAATGTCTTAGATCAGAATCTTATCAAACAATATTTAATGTTTTTTACATCATCATGATTACAACCTTCTCCTATTGGCTTTAAAACATTATCAATGATTTCTCCATTCTTTGGGCAGCAGTCTTCATCTGATTATCATGTCTCTTAGAAAAGCCTTTGTCATTCTCAGTCAGTCCAAAAAATTCATTGTCACTCTTTTGTAAATAAAAAGTGAATGTGGGCAAAAGTTATGCCAACCATTTATGAAGGTAGACTTAGAAACAAATGTTTTGAATTCAGAAACTTTGTAGCTTCAAGATACTGCTAAATGTGAATTTCATACACTTTTAATCTGAAAAGCTGTAGGGATTTCAGGTGCTAGTGGATTTGAAATCAGCATATTTTCAGGCACTGTTTAAATCAATAACTTTAACTAAAAACTTTGTTTTATTTTATTATTAACAAAATTTTCCACCTGTAAACTTTTTACTAAACTATTGAAAGTTATTACTTTTTTGACATAAATAAGTAATAAATAATGAATCCAAAATATAATGTCTTAGATTTCTAATATTTTTTGTTATTTTTACATTTTGCAGAAAATTTACATGAAGATGGTTTAGCAATAAAATTAGTTCATAGCATCTCATATAAACAATGACAAATTCTCACAAAATATTTAAAACAATGGAATTGGTAATTAACATTTTTCATTTGATCAAGTGTACAACAGCTTATTATAAATAGAAATAAGACAGATTTTTATTGAGAAATCAACAACTTTTATTTCTTATTCACATCATTTGCCAGTATTGGACATAACTCAGGAATGTATATGTTCAATAATTTTGATTTTTTTAAAGAAAAATATTATCATTCATATTTATAAATTTGAAATAACTTATGCAATTAGCATAAGCAATTAAAATTATTCTCTTTCTGTGTATATTATTATCACTTTTAATCTACATCATACACAACTCCAATTTGTCGACGAATTTCATCCATGATTTCTGCTAATGTTACAGAGTCATCTAATGGCATGATTGAACTTTCCAAAGCACCTAAAAAAATATGCCTGAATAAATAAGTAAATAATAAATTTCAATAAAATATACATCTCTATTATTAAATAAAGAATTTGTATGTAAGTATATACGTTTCTGGCATTGTGGAAAAATGATGGCACCTGCCAAATTTCTAACACATGTAGTCCTAACTAAACATGTGCACCTCAAAGCTTGCATTTTGAAATCTTTTTATTTATTTTATATTCTGTGCAAATTCAATGAGTTTTTGATTACAAACAGCAATTTTAAAGCAATCTGCTGCCACTCAGCAATGCACAAGATATTTGTCTTTCAATTAACTAACAAATTCAGCGATTTCAAAGAAAAATGCTTTTTGTTTTCCATGTGCCAGTATGTTGTCATTCGGCAAAGCTTAAGATATTTAATTTTCCTACCACATTTAATCTGCTTGTTATTAAAGAAACAAAGCAACTTGAAAGCAATAAATGCAGCTCTTCATCTTTTAGCTGAACTTATTAAGATCATTATATATATTTTTCTTTTTTATAATAGCTATTTTAGGAAATAGTTGCACAAGTGGTTAGTAGATTTAAAAATGAACATTTATACATGTTTTTAAAGCCATTAATAGATTTTCATTCAACTCCTTAGAAATGCCCCAATAAAGAACTAACAAATTTTAGCAGTTATCCTAATTTTAATTGTAGCAAGGAAGTAAAATTTAATTTACATTAAAAGTAAAATTTAATGATATAATTTTTAAGCTCAGTCTTAGATAAAGATGATGCACAATTTCTACTATGAATTCATATATTATGAAAATATAAAGCAAAGACAATAGAATTATTGACCAAAGTAGCATTGGACAACTCAAAATTAAAAAAAAAAAAAAAAATCAGATCCAGAATCCTGTTATAGAACAGGATTTTAACAAACAATAACATTTTGCACCTTTGGCCTTCTTCACCATTTTCCACTTATGTAATCAACCTTCCTTCACAGAGATACGATAAAAATTAATTGAAGTTTTTTTATTTTTCATTTTTCATAAGTATAGTGCAGTGTTAAAATATTGTGTGTGTATTAGATTTTATGAATTCCATTGGTTTTACATTACAAATTTACATACAAACTAAAGTACTCTTTTCTAAGTAATCATTTGGGATACAAGAACAGACATTGGTGTTAAAAGGGCATGTTGTAGCTTGATATGTTTCATTATATTTAAAAGTGAAATTTTTGCTTATTACAAAGCAAGCTTCATTTATTGAGTTAAAGAGCTGTATATCTCTTGAATTTCCAACGTCCCAATCTGATCATGTCTGCTTTATACTTTAACACTTTATAAGTGAGTATTATCCTTTAATACAAGTTACAGGTGTCTGCCACAGCAACACTCGGCTTACTGTGCTACAGAAACAGAATATCTAAAAGCATTTGTTGCATTCCTCCCCCAATAAAACAAATTATATCTGTATATGTTTCTCTCACTTTGAAGCAATGCTTTTTTGCTCACACAAATGTGACTTAAATTGACTATATCAGCAATATCTATGAACATGAGCAAATCACAGCAGTTAATAGATGAATAGGTATGCTGTTGGGTTATTTTTATTCTAAATAAGGATTAAAAAGTAGTACCTTCTAAAAGGTTTCTGATTTAATATCCTGGTTTGGCATAAAATTAATTAAAAGAAACAAAGTATCATATTTATTTGCACATTTCCCCTTTTACTAATTTTACTTCTTGAAAAATCAACAGATGCAGTATATATCATTTAAAGTGATACAAAATACCTGATCAAAACTGCATAAAGAAAATTTATATATTTACTGAAGCAATATTCTTTTCCAGAAAAGAAAACTTTTGAGATTTTCTTCCTGTGTAGCAACAAGATATACATCCTATGAAGTTCCCAATAAGTTATGGAAACTGCCCCGAAGTACACACAGGGACAGTATTTTTAACAAACATAAATTTATAGTACTTGCATTTTTACTTAAAACCGGTCATCAAAGGGTGCAAGAAATACCTAAAAAAAGTTAAACATATTGATTCAGAAGTCACATTTCTAGAAAATAGATATAGGGTGGTTCTGGAAGTTAAAGGATTGTCAGGATGGTCATGGAAATCCTCAAACTGCATTTATCAGATAGGCCTGGTCACCTCAGTCAACTGACACTTAATTCTGACAGAAACTGTCTGCAGCTTAAAGCAATTCATAATTCAAACTACAATTCATAAACTTGCAGTCTTTATGAAATTCATAATAGCTGTTTCATGCCTCAGGGGGGGATATTCTGTTTACACTATATGGAGATAATTCTTACAAATGTTACACTAGATGTTTTCTTAAAAATTTTGTATTATAGATAAAAAAACAATGCAAGATCTTAGTACTACTTTATAAAAAGAATAACTAAAACAAAGACGTATTTTTCAAAAGTACCTAATGTAACTGAACAAAATTATTAATGTATAACAAGTACATTAAACAAAATGCAGGGAAAAGAATACAGAAAAAAATATTTCAGTCTATCATACAGATAAGAAAACTATTTTTATACAACACAAAAGGTGAATAAAACAAATAATATATAGATTTAAAAATTACACTACCTTTTTTTAAACATTCTCTAACTTCATTGGCTTCGTATCTTAACCCTGAGCTGTTAATAAAGTTGCATGGAGTTTTGGTATCTGGTAGTGGAAATTCATATGTTTTTTCTGGTGTTTCAATGATAATAGGGCACCACATATGCTTCGGTATCTAAAATATTTTCTGCATTAAATATACAGTGCTTAATGTATAAAAACATGCATTTGAACATGAAAGAAATCTTTAAGAATATTCCTTATCATGAAATAAATAAAATTAGCCGAATATGAAATTTCACAATGTTTTCTGTTACAATTTTTATTAAATTACATTGAACTGGCAATGAAAGAATAATTTTGCATCAGATATAATGCAAATTTTTAATCTCATTGGTTAGAAATATGAACTTGCTTTAAATCTCCTAAAAAAAAAAAAAAAGATATTCCTTAATAAAAAATTTTAGATATTAAATTTATATTAAAACTTCACACCTAATTAAGAATATAAAATTTAATAATATTAATTTAATGTATACATAAAATTTTAAAATTATGCCTGTTAAAAAAATCCTATTATTAAAATAGCTTTTATAACTAATTATATAATAAAAACTTGCTTACTACCATTTATGTTAGTGGTATTCCTCAAAATAAAGATTATTAAAATTTTCTTAAATTAGGTGAAATTAAAGGAAAAAAAATGAATGAATTAGTTTTAATTCTATATACAGTTAAAACTTTCTTTGTTCTGTCTTTTTAATTTCTTTAATGGGTTAATATAAATTATCTTAATATGAGACTTTTTAAAATGCACCAAATTAAAGTGTTGAAAAAAATTAACTAAATACTCTTAAATTATAATATTTTAAATAAATTAAAACTGTAAAATAACTAATAATTTTCCACTTGCTGTGCTAGTCAAATACTTTTATATACACATACATATTTACAACTTATTAATTAAAATTAGTTACTTTTACACGCCCCTTTGTTCCTGTAATTGTGATGTCACTTGGCAATTCTGCAATAGCATTAGTGCTCACAGTGGCTGTGCGATTGTTACTGTACAATAAACTACTAGCCATAGCAATATCCACTCCTATATATAAAAAGATATACATTCAATTAAGATGGAGCACTTAATACAATACCAACAAAATGCTGTTTTGCTATCTGATATGCTTCATTTCACAGGTTGAGTAAATTTTACCATGGTTTTAAGAAATACAGCTGTGAGGAAATTACTGTTTAATTTACTCTTATTTTAATTTTCAATAAAAATTCCACAAAATATTAAATTTCAAGTAAATCAAATATTTAGACTCATTTAAAATTACAGTAATTACATATAAAAATATAACAAAAATACCGAATTGAATATAATTCAGAAAATTAAATATCTTTCACATTTAATATTTTTTTTTTTTTTTTTTTTACAGCAGCATAAAATTGCAACATTCTGATACAATATGTGAAAATGATTTTATAAGCAATATTATTGCTCTCAAACTTCTGCAGCAACAGTATTTTTTAAAGAAGAATTTTTCAATTAACACTCTGAATGAAAGCACTGAAGAAAGATGATAAAAATACCTTGCTTCAGTTCTATACACAGCATATAATGGGTTAACCAAAAAAAGTACACAATATTTTTGTAAATCAGTATATATGAGGGGAAAAAAAACAAGTTCCAGAGAGTTATATATTGCAAACTAAGTATATTTTACATCTTATATTCAACAACAAATAGAAATATAGATACCATATTTAAAAAGTAAATGCTTTGCTTGAATAAAGCTCTTCTTTGCTCTTGCTTGAATGATTAATTATAGATGTTTCTATTTTAAGGAATGAATTTAATAAAATAGACTTTCTAAAAATAACTTATGATTATATGATATATTTTAATAGACATATATAATCAAATTGTTATATGAGCCTCAGAAAATTTTAATAAGGAAAATGTTTTCATGTATGTGATAAAATAAAAATCACTGTTAGTCAGAGTTATCTTGTAAGGTTTCATAATTATTAATCAGTTATCATTATACCATTATTTTCACTTTAACTTTTGTTGGCTACTCCCAGATTTAAAATTAATTAATGTATTTAAGCACACTTTTCTTGAATTCAGAAGATAGACTGTGGCAGCAGTTTCTGACCATTTTACTACTAGTTCTTCAATGTCTGAATTACTTGAATCAGCTTTAGATTTGTTAGCAATAACTACTCACAGTTTAAAGGCTTGAGCCAAAATGTATAGGTGTGCTTTATCTTGTATTATACTTTAATAATTACATTTTATATTGTTTTCTATTATTCTTGCAAGCTGTAGAGACTGTTTTTTTTATTATTATACAGGTTATGTAACTGTTAGACTGACAAAAAAAATAAATGGTTTATTTTGAACTTTTTCTTGTGCAGCAGTTACTTTACTTAGAAATTAAGATAGTGTGATATGTCACCTGTCTATCTTCAGAGACCCAGAGATTAGTTTTCAAAGTTGTTAGCATTTGTACAGTCTGATACACAACAATTTAATAGTTTGCAATGTTATAACTGGTATGAAATGGTGAACAGATATGAAATGCATTAAATAAGATAAATACAGTTAAAAGTCGTTAATTCGGACACCCATAATCTGGACCTCAAAGCTACAAACTTTCTACGCATGCGCCTTGTTGATGCATGCGCGTAAGACCTTTACGACTGCAAATATGCGCATGTGCATAATACATTTACGCATGCGCATTTAATGTATAACTGTATAACGGACGGTATAAGCTAAGCTAAAATGATCTAATTAAGTTAATGTTGCAGATTGTGTTGTTCCTTAATCTTCAAATTGGATCCGACTTATTATTTTTTGCAGACTGTTAGAGCAATTTTATAAAAGTAAGCTTGAACTTTCGATTATGTCAAATACAATTTCCGATATACATTTACTAATATGTAAAGGATCTACAAAGCGAAAGTATGTTTCAAAGTCCATTAAAAAAAAGTGGAATTGCTGCAAAAAATGGATAAAGGGATATCCTTCGTTTCTCTAACCATTCCGAAATCTGTTTATCAATTTCACGCTGCTCTGCAGCCGGGGGGGGGGGGAGGAACGCCATGCCACGCAATGAATTGATCTGTCAGCACTATCCTTACCTTCAGGGCAGATGTTTTTATTTTATTTGGCTTATAATTCCTTACTAAATGTAGTATTTCATCTCAATGTACTCCGTCTTTAATATGATTTAAATCAAATTCCTCGTCATTATAATTAGCTTTCGATAGTGAAGAAAGTGACATAGAGGTTATTGAAAACAAAAAAAAATTTCGATTGACAATTTGGTCGGTATTCTCGACACAGCAAATATAGGACTTGAACAGCAGAACTTTGTAACTGAAGAAGAAATTATGTCTGTTTATAGCATTAAAGAGAAAGTATTATCACATAAAATGAAGCAACTTAAACAACTTACATTGAAAGAAATGTTTAATAAAGTAAACAAATAAATATTAAGCTTTTTTTTTTTTTTTTTTTTTTTTTTTTTTTTTTTTTTTTTTTTTGTAAATTTTGATACCCTTTACATAATATTGTTCTTTATTTCATAAATTATGGTTTCATATTTTTAATTTTATAATTTCTGCATGCCATCTTACCAGATTTAAACTGATTATCTATAATCCGGAATCGCCAAAGTCCCTACGAGTCCGGATTAACGACTTTTGACTGTATGTAAATTTCTAAGATACCTACCTATACATAAGAAAAATGCAAAATTATGAGTTTCAAACTGGAGCTTTGTAGAAATATAACTTTGTATAAACATTTTTTAATCAAACAAAATTTAATTTTTATGGTTTTTTGAATGCCATTTTCTACAACAAATACTACAAATTCCTATAACAAGGCATTTTGGCCATACGTATTCCACCTGTTAAGGAATCACAGCATGGGATAATGTTCAAGTTATTTGAATAGACAGCTAGTTAAAAATACTTTGTGTATTTTTCTTCTTTATGCCCCAAAGTCAGTATTTTTTTACTTTTTTTTTTCAATAAGCAAAATTAAGTCATATAAGTTTGGGAATTTATTTTTATTATAAACTTAGGTACAATATTACACTTTTCCCCTCCATTTATTTTTAAATGGAAGGCTTTAAGTAAGCTTTTTTCCCCCTCCATTTATTTTTAAAAAAGGTATTTTGCAATTTAAGGAATGACATGTTCATTTCTTAAATTGAAGACACATTTAAATAAATCTTTCAATAATCCTTCTAAATGCTGTGTATGCTTTAATGAATGAAGGAAATATTTCTTAACAGAATTATTAACATATTTAAAAAAAATTACCATCATCATTTAGATGTCCAACTGCAGCAATTTTTTTAGGTTTTTCACCATTATAAATCATTGTGACAGCATTTAATGTATAAATGCCAAGGTCAAGTATTGTACCTCCTCCAATAGACTTTTTCATAATTCTCTCCACTGATAATAATGGAATTCCAAAATTTGAATATATATGAACAATTTCTCCTATATTACCCTTTTTCAGGTAGTCTATTAGAAATCTGTAGGATGGAATAAATCTGCTCCAAATTGCCTGTAATAGAGTTTAAAACTCCATTACAACAATTTTTCCCGATATATAGAAAATAATCATTGTCCAAAATATACAAATTCATCACTATAATTAGGCAAAATCAGCCATATATCCTCCTATTAGGTTAAAAAATATGCATACATTTACATAATGAAAATGTATGAGTATCAAGCAAAAGAATGTGTAGCCACTGTTGAATGTCAATTGATAGTAACTACTCATAAAAAAATACCTTTCTATTATAAAAAATCGTTAAAGTTTTACAAAATATGAAATTGATAATGAAATAAATTTCAAATTTGGGCTTCCACATGCCCATATTTGCAGTATGATTACGTCATTCAAAATTCGATGGCCTATATACTGTTGTTTTATCACAATGCGAGAAATATACATACATTTATGCAGATTTTTCATTATTTAATTTCTTCAAATACAATGCAGGACTCTAACATTTGGTGGCAACAGTTTGAGAAGTGAAACGGACATTTATAGTGATTCAACACAATATCGCAAAACAAAAACAATAGTCCTTTAGGGACAAAGCCCCTTTGGAAAAAAAAAAAAAAAAAAAAAAAAAAAAAAAAAGAAGCCCTTGTAGGAAAGACATGCTTCCAATAGCAAATCCAATAACTAAATTTATTACAGTATTTTAAAAATGAACATCAAAATGCTTTGTATCTTGAAATATGATCCTAGACAAAAATCAAGCTTCTCAAAATCTTCTCAAAATGATGTAGAATACTTTATGAGAATAAAATGGCAGTACATTAAGAATTCCATAAAAGAGCAATCAATAAAATTTAAAAAGCAAGAATCATTGGTAATAAAACATCTTTTTTGAGATATCTTTCAGTATTTTCTCTGTGCTGTTGGTTTTCCACTGTACAGAGCAATTTGCCTTTAAAAAAAAAAAAAGACTCAGAGAACTGCATTAACTCTGCATCTGTATGACATCAACATTGTGCAGCAGCCAAAACAAATATGCGCTTCCAGCATGCTCAACTGCCACTTAAGTATTTTTTCCTGACATCATGGGTTGCCACATTAACTATATTAGCAACATACCTTTCTGCCTCATACTTTTTTGGTCAGATTGCAGACAATCAGACAGTACCAAAAACAATACCAACATTACAGGTAGAAGGACTCTTTAAAACTAAAATCTAATGTGCCTATAAAATATAGTAAGTAAAACATGGTGAGTATCACCATTTTTTAATTTGTTAAGAACTTGAATTCTATGCCAGAGTTATTCAAAAGTATCAGTGATGAACTTAGTAATTAGTTTTAATTAGCATTTACATATTTAATAGAGAACACTACTTTACAAATGAGAATCATTATTTACTTTATTGCTTGATACTCATACTCAAGATAAAAATAAACCAGGTAAATTTATTTTGAATATCTCATCTAATTTCACACATAAAGACTGCTTTGTGTTGATTTCACAAAAATTCATGATTTTATCTTTTCATAAGCTGCTTATAAACAAGATTGAAATTTTCTCATAAAATTCTTGACCAATTTGAAGAGATTTTGAAAGTGAAAAGTACACACTTAGGATATCAAAGCTTGTAACTAACTTTCTACTACATCGATGAAGTATGGAGTCTCACAACGGCCAGCTCAGAATTCAACTCGAGAACTTACATATTAACACAACCATCTCGAGGCAGTTTGGTGATAAAAGTTACTTATCGGGTGCAAGTTGGTACTTTTTTTTTTTTTTTTTTTTTTTTTTAAGAAAACTACCCAAACTATTGATATTTATTATAAGTTGGTAAACATTAGCAATATGATGAAAATTACAAATTTAAAATAAAAATTAAAAAATTAAAGAACATTTAAAAAAAATTTTCTTCACAAACAATTTTTTTTTTTTTTTTTTTTTTTTTTCTCCTTTTCTTTTTCTTATACAGTACAAAGTCTTAATGGGGACAATCAATAATCCGGAATGAATCGAAAAGAAACCCGAAAAGGTACAAACTTTCTGTGCATGCGTAGCGTTTATGCATGCGCATATGCGTTTATGCATAATACCTTTATGCATGCACATTTAACGTGTAAGGGGGGCGGTATAAGCTATACTAAAATTATCTAATTATCTATTTCAGTTAATGTTGCAGATTGCGTTGTTCCTTAATTTTCTAATTGCATCTGGCTTATTATTTTTTGCAGACTGTTAGAGCAATTTTATAAAAAGTAAGCTTGAACTTTCGATTATGTCGAAAAGAGTTTCCGATTCTGAAGCTGCCAAAGGATCTACAAAGTGAAAGCATGTTTTGATGTCCATCAAATAAAAAGTGGAATTGCTGCAAAAAATGGATAAAGGCATGAAGAAAGTGACAGAGAGGTTAGTGAAAACGAAAAAATTTCGATTGACAAGTTAGTCGGTATTCTCAGCACAGCAATTAGACTTGAACAGCGGAACTTTGTAACTGAAGAAGAAATTATGTCTGTTTATAGAATTAAAGAGAAAGTATTAGCACATAAAACGAAACAACTTACATTGAAAGAAATGTTTAATAAAGTAAACAAATGAATATTAAGCTTTTTTTTTTTTTTTTGTAAATTTTGATACCGTTTAGATCATAATTGCTCTTTATTTCATAAATTAAGGTTTCATTTTTTAATTTCTGCATGCCATCTTACCATATTTAAATTGATGATCTATAATCCGGAAAAAACCCTAATACGGAATCGCTGAAGTTCCGATGAGTCCGGATGAAAGACTTTGTACTGTAATGTGTTACAAATTTAAGAGATGAAGGGGAAGTGGGGAATTCAACAAATTGTTCTGTGAAAAGCTAGCTATAGTAATGGTGAGAGTTGCGGTTCTCGGATACATCTGCAAGCAATATATATTAATACATCTTAAATGAAGCATATCCTATAATAATATTCGCATATAAATTACTATTAATTTTTTATGTAAAAAAATCATTTCTAGTAGAAATTAAGTTTTCGTGATCTATCAGAACAAGAATCTGTGCATTGTGTTTATATTTAAAATGGCCATACGCTGAACTAGTTGCCAAATTATCTGAATTCTACCAACAGGTGAAATTACAACAAAATACATCAAATATTACATTCTAATCAAAACATTTATAAAATAAAGAAATTCAAATTTATTTGCTGAATGGTAAGTACATGCCTCAGCAGAACGGACATAAATTAATATCTTGAGTTATCAGATTGTAGTTTGCATTTTGAATTAAAATTAGTAAACTTTACCCAGGCAAAATAGACATTTAAAAAATTCTCCTATTAAAAAAATTTAATGTCTCTTTTAATACTAGTATGCAAATAATTGGAATAATAATTGATATAAAAACTAGATTTCAGATTTTTGATATTGATATAATATTTCACTTGAATGATTTCAAGACACTTTCATTAACACATTGACAGCCAGAATAGGCATATAAAAATTCACTGGAAGCTGCTCTAATTTAAGGAAAGAACTTTATAGATACTGACTCACCTTTCTAATTGTAATAAACACAAGCAAAGCACATAGATGGCATATTGAAGAGGAAGATTTCTGATTGAATAGTACGCTAATATGTTGAATTCGTAATATCTAAGAAACTTGGCAGTTGAGGCAATTTTAATTCCATTTTTATTTCCAATTGACATATGTGGTCACAGTTCATTTAGCACTCTAGTCATGCCTATTCATAAACATTTACATTTTTGATATTTTTGTGAAAGCGAGCACAGAGAAATTACATCCTAGCAGGGTAGAGAGCAAAGCTGAAGTGCATAGTTATCCTACATGGAACCCCATGAACAGAAAAGTTTTGGTTTGAGTTTAACTTATTTCCCAGAATAAGTACTTGTGTTGAAATTTCTAGATTATGTTTTTCATATGCATCATTATCCAAATATTCAGAATCATCTATATGAGGGACATATTCCTCTTCACCTAAGGAACATTTTTACACATATCTAATAAATTGTCTTCAAAACATTTTGCAAGTTCTTTACCTGTTAATGGTCTTTTGTATTCACATCTCATTCATTTAGGCTGAGAAAGTCCTAGTAAATTGTCATTTACATTGCTCATTTTAGGAGACAATTTAAAAAAAATAGCATGGAAAATGTAAAATTAAAAATGTTTTTACTGTATTTAATACTGCACCTAAGATATAATGCAATTAACATGAAAGCAAAGTGTTAACATTGACCTCAGCACGTACAAGCATGTGATTTGCTATTAGATAATACCACATCACATGCCCAAGAATGATCGGTAGGGAATACATTAAAGATTTCTAAAAAATGCTAAATTTTTTGTTAGAAGTTTAAATAGACTATTATGAATAAAACATTACTAAAAAGCCTATCATAATTGTTTTTCCAAATTAGCCCAACCAATATAAAAAATAATGCAAACAAAAACAGCTCACATTGCATTTTAGAAAACAAAAGATGTAAATATAAGCTATAAATGAGGTGTGTAAATACGAAGAGACAAAGTATTTTTTAAAAATTGGTGTTTAAATTTATAAAAGTTTTAGCAAGTTTAATATACAGAAAAACTACTTTTATCGCAATTTAGTTTCAATAATGTGATAAAAATTTCAAATTTATGGATTTTAGGAGCTACTTCAGAACAGACTGGATATTAAAATAAAATATGAGAAATTTTTACTACACATACATTCATTATCTTTTAGACCACAATAAAAGTATGTTTACTTTGAAATGTATATCACAAATACCTCCATAAGGAAACGTTTATTCTTCCTTGCGATATCAATAAGTGCCTTTGTTTGTTTTGCATTGAGTGTCATAGGCTTTTCCATTAAAACATGTTTGCCATTTTCTAACATCATTTTACCAACACGAAAATGCTCACTATTAATTGTACCAACATATGCCACCTCTGAAAAATATTAAAAAATAACATAAATACATAATCACATCTCTTATTATTTACTGATTTTATGACATTTTACAAGTAATGAACATGAAGTAGCAGACAATTCTGAGCAAAAAGAAAAAATATTTAATTAAATAATAAAAACAATTTTATAGCATATTTACCACATTCTTAATCATTCTTCAAATGTGTTTAAAATAAAATGTTTTCTGTTTGCTTAAATATGATACTTGATAAATACATCAAGGTCAGAATTATCCAATATAAGGAAGACTGAATAGCTGTCAGGCAAATGAGAATGCTGAATGACCAAGAAACACTGTAGAAAAATTATTAAAATAAACCCAGTAAATAAAAAAAAACCATTTTATTACAGACTTGGCATAATATATATAAGATGTATTTACTGTGTGCTGAAATTGATATATAATTTTATCTTCTTATGCTTGTAATAATAAAATTATTTCATTAAAAACACCAATTAGATAATCCCACAAAGTTTTTAAGGCCCATTTATTGAACAATTACTTTTGCTCAAAGGCATGTTCTGTCGAAACTAATAAATTTTTTTTTCTCTGATCTATTACCCATTTCTCTTAGCTTGTCTTCAAAAACAGTCCAGGCTGTGATAACAGCCTGACAAGACTCTTTATTCTTAGGCATTTTCTCTAATTCTTCTTGCTTGGACTTCCACCAACAAATGTATATCTCGTTAAATTGAAATTCTCTAGCCGCAGTCCGATTTTTCAGTTTTTATCACTTTCTTAACTGCTGAAAAGCTTAAAAGCAGCTATATGCATAACTTTTTCTTCAAGCAGAAGCCATTGTAAATATAATAAAAATTCAATAATAAATCATGAACAATAAAGTAAGCAATAAGCAACTCACAAAGCAGGAGACACTTGTAAGAATGAATATAGAACTTGGTGAAATAAAAGTTTCTGTGGACATTAAAAAGATGTTATCAGAAAATTCAGACAAACCTACAGCAACAACAGTACTAAACAGTTTATCAGAAGATAATGAATTACAGGGTCTTTACAGCAAGCACACCCTACTAAGATGAGATACACACAAATTCAAACTTGATGCACTGCCTTAGTATAACCTGAGTGCTCGTATCAGGCATAAATACCATAACTAATTCTACAGGCATAAATACCATAACTAATTCTACATTAACCATTTCGCTTGTGCATAACTTACAATTTTAACTAGCAAAATTCTAAAGACAGACGGAAAATAAAATTCCTTCAGATATGCATCCAACCAACATTTTCAACTTTTAAATATGTATATGCTGCAGCTTATCTAACCAAAATTACAGTAAGTGCTATCTGGCTAAGGGGAAGGAGGAAGGATGCCTCTACAAAGAACTTTTTAAGGGAAACTGGCTCATATTAATGTTATATTTGGGAAAAGCTAAAAAAACTACCATGAAATCTACTTTAAACCAGGATTTGAACTGAAGTCACATTAGTAGATTCAGCAGTTTAATTGCACAAACCAGCCCTTGCACAAACCAAGACTGTTGATGCTATGTGAAAACATTGGACTAGTATAAACTATGATTAATTTAGAACTCTAATTTAAAAGTGTACTTTTTTTCCTTTTTAACAAGGGAAAGTGTTGAAGTTATTTTGTTGCAAAAGAAAAAACAAGGTACTGTAATTTTTTTTAATTTTATATATATGTTTGGCAACATCTCAGAATGAACTTCAACTTCTACTTGGAGAAGTTCAGTTGAGCGATTTGTTGTTGACTTTCTCATAGAACTTAACTTGCATTAAAAGCATGGATTAGGAAAACGTTTAATAAGATTCTTCTTCAGTTTAGCATATTTAATCTTAAAATTCAATAGTTTAAACAAAAAGATCCAATTGTAATTCATAACGTAAAAACACAATATGTATGAAATACTAATAAAGAAAATTAGAAAAAGGTGAAAGCTTAATTGATTCAAACTTAAAAGCTAATATGCATGTAGAATAAAGTTAAAATTATCACAAAACATATTAGAAAAAGTACTACAAAACATCATGTTAAAAAACCAATAACAAAGCAGAGGTAAATGGAAAATTAGCCTAATTCGAATATCACCATGGACGTTTCAAGGGAAATGCATGGTAAGCTTCAAACTCTGCTAATTCCAGAATGCGTTTCGTCAAACAGGAAGCAAATTGAGATTGATTGTCAAAAATTTTTTTATTTATTAAAAAGAGCCAAATATTAATTAAAACCAAGTCTCAATTTCTCTGTTTCATTTCCCGACGTGTCAGCTGTTAACAAGTACATGAGAAATATATAACTTGTGCAAGAAAAACTATACAAGCTAGCCTGGTAAGGCAAATTTACAGCATTAAAATAAATAGCGAATTGCTATTAGTCAACATATTCACAAATTTTTATGGGTGAACCTTTTTAGTCTGAAGAGTTATAACTTTATAAAGGAAGTTACAGCAATTATTTTTTTAATAAAGATAATAAATGATTCAAATTGGGTCAGTTTGTGACCAAAATTTAGGACAACAAAATGATGAAATTTAAAAAAACATACCTAAATTCAAGACTTATTTCTGTGAGAAGCTATTTGCAAAAAATGGCAGAAAGAGTGAGTTGTAAGAAGCAAGAGAAAAGAGTGAAAAAAGATAAGAATTAAATTCACCAAATAAGGTGAGACTATGCAAAGGGAAAAAACAAAGGTCAGGAAGCAATGCCCAATGAAACGTAACAAACTGAGGGGGACCCGCGTCCAAAAATTTGGAGGGGGGTGTAGATGGTAGTTTTTTTCAACATGGCGTCTGTCCTGTTCGATGTCAATTCTAGAATGGTTTGAAAATGTGAATTCAAAATAGCTAATTCTTACAACTGGTAAAATTGGCCAGACAGCAGTTGAAATTGGAAAAATACAGTATTTTGTTAGTAAAAGTCTCAATTCTTCAAGTTCTTTCAAGCTTCTTTGAAATGAAAAGAGCCTATAAATTTAATTAACAGGATAGATTAGGCTAGAAAAAGACTTTATTTTACATATTATGCATATTAAAAACAAGGTTTGAAGTACTGAGCCAAACGAGTAGAGAAAAAATTTTAAGTGGTGAGAGTAATAAGCTATACATTTTTACATTAGATTATCAAAATTAGCCATCCATTAATCACTTTCCCTTTTTGGGATTTAAGTAAAAAATTTCATTATCTAACTCAAATAATCTAAAAAAAACAGGTAAATGCCAGCTTTTTTTAGGGAATATTTAATGACTGTATTTGGAAGAAAATTGTCTTGCAAGATATTAATAAAGTAGTGCATTTCTACTTGGAGGTCTTGTACATTATTACAGATTCTATTAATTCTTAGAAGTTGTGCATTAATTGTGTTGACTACGACCCTTTTTGAAATATTAGAATTCCAGTTCGTTAACTTAAGCGTAAAAAAATTTAAATGTCTGCGCTTGTCATAAATTCTGATAAGTTTGTAATCCAGAACATGCAAATCAAGGTATGCTATATCATTTTGAACAGTATTAGTGGCATTAAGCTTGAGGCAAGTTGGGTAAATATTTGAGTGCTCAATTTTGTTGAAGTTGTTAAAAACAATATCATCATCTATATAACGAAAGATGTGCTTGAAATATTTGTAATTTTCAATTTTAAGTGATTTCATAAACTTAAATTCTTGGGTAAGCAGGAATATTTCGCAAATTGCTGTTAAAAAATTTCCGCCCATAGGCAGACCTTGCACTTGTTTAAAGTTGATGTTATTAAATTTAATATAATTTTTTAAAAGTACACTTTTCAAGAACTGTTGCCGATTTTCAGTAGAAATAATAGTATTGATCTGTGGAAATAAATTAGAGAGAGTAAGCAAACTATTATAAATTTCTTCAAGAGGTAAATTAGTGTACAGGTTTTCAAAATCGTAGCATTGCATATGCTCTATTTCAAGTGAATTTAAAGTATGAATAATTTTATCGTTGTTTGAGATCATCCAATCGTAATGCTTCTCTTGAAAATCAAAATTGTTTATTATATCTGGAAGAAGTTTAAGTTTTTGTGCAAATAGATAATCAATCTCTTTTAAATAACTCCTGTTAGTTCTATGTCTCTGAACTTTACTAGAGTTTTATGAAACTTAGGCAGTGCACATATATTTGCAAATCTTATTAAATTTGTTGGGACGAATTTTAAGTCTTTTATGAAGTGCTTTAAATTTATTTAAAAGGATTTTAGTGCTGGTAGAGACCTGTGTACAGGTGCATATACTTTGTAATTCTTGTTGCAGAATGTAATAAAATTTTTTTTATACGACACTAAAATTATTACTAAAATTAGCTTTGTCAATTTTGGTGATGATAAAGCTTTCTTGCAGAAGATTAATTTGTGATTCAAGATGTTTCTTATTGTGGACTTGACTGAAACTAGACAGTTTAAAAAGCACAAGTTTCAAATTCTTTAATTAAAGCAGCTTTCCATTCAAGAAAGGTAGTGGTTGGTAAGTTAAAGTGATTACTTGCTAAAATAATGAATTTATTAAGATCATTGTGAAATTGCTTTAGGCAAGAGTGTTTATTAAGACTGAAAGTTGGACGAAATTTGGTGCCAAGTTGCATAAGTTGACGTAGTTAATCATCTTGAATGATGTTAAGATCTCCTGTGACAATATGTCGATGAAAAGGATCAATGAAGTTACTGTCGTCAGGATGCTCACAATTTCAAACGTTATTAGCTAAAACATCGTGGTGGTTAAAAACCATGTTACCTAAAGTTTTTTCAAATTTAAAACAAGGTGTTACCAGAAGCTATTGGTAAGAGAGTAAAATCTGACATTTTTTAAAAAGGTGAGGAATTTTTAGTTGATCATAAAAAAGGTGCTTGAATTGTACCCTACAGAAAATTTTATTGAGGAAAAAATTACTTTTTAGCAATTTATAGTTGTAAAAGTCTATAATTAAATCTTTGACTATTGTGTTACACTGAATTTGTTGATTAATTTCGCCTACAAGTTTCCATAATGTAACATCTTTAAAAGTATGCAAAAGGTTAATGGCATTTTTTGCGAAAGCTTGCTTTCGTAGGAATGAATCAAGTTTTTGAATAATTAATTTTAAAGCCTGTGTGGTAAAGAATCTTTTGTCGTTAGAATTCCCTCCTCTTTTTCCTCTGGTAGTAGCATTACTAAAAAACCCAAATTGTCCATAAATAGATTCCTCTGCTTGTCCATCAGTGGTTTTATTGAGATTTGTGTTAAGTCCGTTAGGATAAAGTGACTTTTTTTTTTTTTAAGTACAGTCAAAAGTCTTTAATCCGGACGTCCATAATCCAGACTTCAAAGCTACAAACTTTCTGCGCATGCATTAACGCATGCGCATATGCATCTACGCATGCACATAATACGTTTACGCATGCGCGTAATACGTTTACGCATGCGCGTTTAATGTATAATGGACGGTATAAGCTAAGCTAAAATTATCTATTTCAGTTAATGTTGCAGATTGCGTTGTTCCTTACTCTTCTTATTGGATCCGGCTTATTATTTTTTTGCAGACTGTTAGCGCAATTTTATAAAAGTAAGCTTAAACTTTCGATTATGTCAAAAAGAATTTCCGATTCTGGAGCTACCAAAGGATCTACAAAGCGAAAGCATATTTCGATGTCCATCAAACAAAAAGTGGAATTGCTTCAAAAAATTGATAAAGGCATATCCTTTGATTCTCTAACCATTCCGAAATATGTTTATCAATTTCCTGCTGCTATATGGAAGGGGGGGGACGCGGCGCGCAATGAACTGGAAGTTGATCTGTCAGCACTATCCTTATCTTCAGAGCAGATGTTTTTATTTTATTCAGCTTATAATTCCTTACTAAATGTAGTATTTCATCTCGATGTACTCCGTCTTTGATATGATTTAAATCAAATTCCTCATCATTATAAATATCACGAATACACATCAAATAGTTTTCTGGTTGCAATTTTCTAATTTTGACTATGCATAATATATGCTTTACGCATGTGCGTGTTTAAAGAAATGTTTAATCAAGTAAACAAATAAATTTTAAGCTTTTTTTTTTTTTTTTTTTTTTTTTTTTTTTTTTTTTTTTTGTAATTTTGATACCTTTAGATCATAATTGCTTTTTATTTCATAAATTATGGTTTCATATTTTTAATTTTATAATTTATTTTCTGCATGCCATTTTACCAGATTTAATCTGACGATTTATGATTCAGTAAAACCCATAATCCGGAATTACAGAAGTCCCGACGAGTCCGGATTAAAGACTTTTGACTGTGTATAAATAGATTCTTTAAAGAGTCTCAATTTAGTATCAGGTACAATATCAAGCACACTAATTTCAATGTTGTAAAAATTGTGAATTTGAAAATGCTCCAGAATAGCTGTACGGTGTTTTTCATCGTTATTACTTGCGTTAACATTATTAAAATTTTTTATATGTGACCTATGGTTATTAATTCTGAGGTTTAGAGCATTCTGAGTTAGACCTATTTATGTAAGGTCTTTACATGTAATTTGGTAGATGCAGCTGTAAGTTTTTCAAAGTGTAAGTTGATGACGGTAAGAACGTGGATAATAAAATATGCTAAAGAAATTAAGGCAATATAGCAAAAGTACACAAATTCAGGTATGATATACCAGGAGAGTTTTTAACATTAAAATCAAAAAAATAGTTTGTTCTCTTAGTAGTTTTGGGAAATTTGTGCATTAATTTCAAGCAAAATTTCTTTGCAAATGGTTTCACAGTTAAAAAATTAAAGGAAGTGAATATTTCATACTCTGTAAAGTTTGATAAACTGCTTTGCAAAAAAAGTGAATTAATATTCAGTGCCATCTTTACAGCATTATCGGACTCCAGGCAAACCATTGTGCTGGGGCCTCCATGACAACCACTCACAGAAATACAAATGGATTAGCATGGGGGCCCCCAGTGCCAAGAGGCCCATAAGACGGCTCTGTAAATATCATAATCAGGATATTAGTTAGGTGATACTAGTTAAGGCTGCTATTCTGACAGCTATGATCAACCTAAAAGTAAAAAGAATGATGTATCTTAAGTGAAACACAGAGGATAATGCTTATATTAACGTGAATTTTCATAGTGTATTAAAAAATAATTAAATAAATGCCAGATGAATGATAATAGGTACTTGCATATTATATCAACCACTTTGCTGCAGTTACGTGATTTTTTTACAAAAGAAAAAGGCAATTCTGAAAAATTTTTGATTGCAAACTTACAATGGGTATGGTTAGCTGAAAAACTGTTATGAGCATGGTTACCAGAATTTGATGACTTTAAAAAGTGGTTGTAATAATACATAAGCACCTGATCCTGAACAATTGAGATTCTTCTGTAATTTAATTAATTTGAAACTAGTTTTCCATTTGGATTTACTTGAATTTATTAATCAGCATCAGACAATTCAATATTCAAAATGGAAATAAAAATACATACCAATACTTGGATCTTTTGCAAGATCTTCATATGATCCATATGCTTTTGCAATTCCATGTGATTTAGCAAATTCAGTGGCTGATGATAAATTTCTAGCAGCTACAGCTACAAACTTAAAAAGAGAAAAAATGAATAAAAATACATGTATTATAAAGAATGAAATAATCAAAAAATTAAAATTACATCATGAAAAATATAAATTAACAGAAATCAAATACTAAAAACACGTTAAAAACATGATTAATAGGGAAACAAATAAGTAGCAATTATGTACATCTCAATAAATTTCAAAATTCAGTGGATTTCCCTTTTAAAGATATGTATTATTGGCACTTTTCCATTTCACTGGCGCAAATCTCGCCAAGCAGACTTTATTGGTGACACAGTATACACATAAAAAATGTTGACAAAAGTTAGTTCTAAGAATTTCTTGTTTTGAAAGGTATAAACATTTTAATGTCATTTAAAATTTTGTAAAAAAGCCAATAAATAAAGACAATGAATTTGTAAAAAGACATTAATTCAAGAATTTACTACGCTTTCATAGTACAACATCCTGATTTGCCAGTTCATATTACATGACCCCAAGTGATCTCATCTCAAGTAAACTACACTACAAAAATTTAATTCTCTCAGCAATTATCTACATTAATTTCAAATTAAATCTTAATTTGGAATACAAGTTTAAATGCAAGAATCATTTCAATTCGTACGAATAGTTTACTCAGAAATTATGTAAAACTGCAGTGCATTACTTCACTAGTGCATTCTCATTAATTGATGAATTTAACTCTTGACTTTGCCTTTTCTATATTTTTGCCATCAGGTGAGCAGTCAGATTGTATCCTAATTGACTTAATTACCACACGCGAATAGCCTTAGGACATAAAATTGAACTATCTGGGTAAAAATTCTATGTAACTGTATGGCAGTATTGAAAGAAACAATCAATCTGATAAAAATGGCTGCGACTTGTTTTGAAAATGAGGAGTAAAAGGAAAACAGTGAGGATATTTCGCTGTACCATTATTGGCGACTTTATCGCATGCGCTGGCAAAACGGGAAAGTACTGCATTATTTTTTAGACTCGCATTTTACTTAACTAGACACTAACTTAAACATAGCATTTTATTACTAATAAATATTTTGCAAAAGATAAAAAATAAAAAAGTTAATACATTTTCAAATATCTAGTCTCTAATGAAAATCATAGTCTTCAGAGAGAAATTTCTCTATTTTCTTTCAAGTTCAGAAGAAAAATTTAAGATAGTTAACTCTGAATGTAATAATCTCTAATGTCAGTCCATGCACATCTGCTTTATGACTGAAAAAGAGTAGTAATCTTATAACATAGAGTAATTGCAGAGGAAGCTTTAAAAAAGAACCTTGAAAAGCTCTTAAGTCAATATGCGATACCCACTGATAAATCAACAAAAATGCAACTTTCAATTTTGATACTAGTGAGCATTCAGTGATCCTAAAAGCTGTTCAGGATTCTTTAAAATACATTTAATTGATATATCATCAACTAAAAATTACTGAATTAAAAATTTTAAATATTTTTACACAATTATACTGTATATTTTTTCACTTTTCAAATACTATAATAATAATAATAATTACTACATTATTGACCAACTAAGCTGAAAACACTAGATATGCTTACAAGCATGTGCATCTGCCAAAGAATATAGTTTTAGCATTTCTAGCAGCTATAATTTAGAAATTAAACTATGAATTATGAATATTATTGAAATAAAAAGACTGATCAGTAGAGCGAACTTAGGCAAAGAACATTTCACCCTTAAATCTTTATTTACAAAAACACAGTATACATGTCAATCATCTGATGTCCAGTATGAATAGATTCCATTTTTGGCTTATTTGGTGGAACTACAAATTGTCAGTAACACAGATATACTCTCTCTCTAAGAAGAGCAATAAAATAATCAGTTACCCCTATCTGAAGAATGGAAAACAGTTGCCATGGGGCATTCTTGCTCACAAAGCTGACAGCAACGGAATTTTCATGTTCTTAGAGAAAGAATTTCCTGTCTGTCTTATATTCATTATGTGTGTTTAATTCCTAAGTTCTGTTAAAAGTATATCTATGAATGTTCTTGTTAAGTTACATATGTATTAAATCTGATATTTAAAGAGTGATTCACAATTATCATTGTTTAGTGTTGTTTTAAATAGTGAAAATCATAAAATAACATGTAACATCACTACTGGAAATAAAAAAAAATCAATTTTAACCTTTAGAAATATACTTCTCATAATATTTTCTGATAGCACTGCTCCGTTTTCAGTAACCTTTTCTGCAAGTTTGAGCACTTTGCTGAAATTAGTTATCCAATATTTCCTTTGCTACCATTTATACCTCTTCTAATGGGAAATGAGTTCAGATTTATCTTCAAAACTACCCCCATATTGCAAAATGAAATTTTACAATTCATTCTTTTTTTCTTCCAATGATTTTATATATTTAATTATACATTAATAGTGATGCAGCCTAGATTTAAAGTGAAAGACTATAAATAAGAGATTGAAATAAATTAGAGATTTGGTGCATATATTTCATTTTTAGGTAATAACTAGTTAAGATTGAAATAAACTTTCGAATAATTTTATAACTCTTTATAGACTTTTTATCTATCTATTATTTTCTTTTATACTTACTTCATGCTGCCCATCTTGTATGCTTTGGACAGCAGTAACAAAATCATGACTTATCTTTCCTGCACTGACCACACCCCATTTTGTAGCCATCGCACTGTTTTACTCCTATAAAAATAATCATGAGTTATAAAAATATATATATATCTCAGATATAAGCCCAGCTTAAAATATACAAAACAATAATTGCTAATTTTTGACTATAAAACAAACATTTTTGTATTTTGAAAAAAATATTTAATTAGTTACATATTAAAAAAATATTTTACATATAAACAAGTATGTTTTTCAATCTATGAAATTCTGAACACTTATTATTCAAAATATTTTAATAATGACAAAATTCTTTTTTTTTTTTTATTAATTAGAGAAAAGGTCTCAAAGCATTGCAAAAGAATATATCTCAATTCACTTCCTTCTGAACATGCTTTTCTCAGAAATGAATTCTACAAGAAAACTACTGCAGACAACTAACATAATCTACTGTGCAAAAGAAATTAAGGATCTTGTATTTTGTATGCATAACTGAATAGTATGATTTACTCATGAAGAAAGAACTCTGCATCTCTGTTGAAATTGCAAGTCAATTGCAATTGTTGAAATTGAAAGTCAATGAAAAGTTGAATTTTGGCAATTAAATAAATTTAAGTTTGTGAGTAATATTTATACTTTCATAAGATTAATGCTACAGCTAGAAAACATACTTTAAAAAAATTATGCTGTTGCATTTAATTATTAATACTAAGTAATGATAGAAATCTATCGACTGAGATTAATATCTAGGCTAAAGTGCAGAATCGCCCACTTATTTGTTTGGCGCTGGATTTTTGTCAATTTTCTTTGACTTTTAAAGTGAAAATAGGTCAATGTGTATATGGATAAAGTCAAGGGAGTGCACAATGCCATTTTTGTGCAATTCTGAGATGTTTTTTCAAGTGAAAATAGGTCGACGTGTACATGGATATCGAGTATGTGCAATTCTGCACTTTCCACAATATAAAACATAAACATTAATTACACACATTTACTCCTATTTTTTCCAACTTTCTCTTCCAAGAATGTCAATTATCTGCTCACAGTGCATTTAATTTATATTTGTAAAAAATAATTTTGTTCACTGCATTTTAAATAGCAACAATCTGCATATTAATGAAACATTCACATTTTGTCATTTGTTATACATATTCATTACTAATGAAATTTTAATAGTGAAAGTAGCAAAAAAGGCTGAACATCCACAGCGGTTGGGCAGCTTTTCTCCATTTTCTGATAACCATCTCTTTTTTAACGGAAATCTATATGGTATTGAAAATTTAGTTTTCCAATCAATATTTATTGTTCTTTTATCTTATCGCTAATTAACCGTTAAATCGCTTATCTTAAATATATGTTTATTAATACAATCTTCGCAGATTTACGCTTATTAAAATTCGGGAGAATGTGTCGGTCTTAAACGTCCAATGGACAGCAAATCAGCAGCTGTACGGGATAGCAAAAGTTTACCTGTCAAAGGAGTCACAAGTTCATAAATCATCAGATGAATTGCTTTCAAGGAGGTTAGAATACATGGAGATGCCCTGCGCGCAGTCCAAGTGAAGCCAAAAAGGGGGGAAAGCATCTAATTTAATTTTTATTAGTAGTCATGGCTTTAGAAAGATTGACGAGCTCTTCAGCCAATGAGGCAGAACCTAACCACACCCAGTTTCGTAAATTAAAGACCGTGGATTCTTCGCGCGCTTTTTCCTTCACTTTTTCCCGCCATTTCATTTTATTTCTACATTTTCTATCATCTTGTAGACGGCTGCAATATTGTTCCGAGAAGCAATTTTTATTCCTGCCAGAATGGTAAATTCCTGCGTCGCTTTCGGCTGTACAAATAGAAGAATAGCAGGATCCGGTATTACATTTCACAGGTAAATATTCTTTAAATATATACTATCATTTATTTAATTATACTTTGCTCAAAGTTAGATAAAAATTTGCTGTGCATGTTTAAAACATATCCAAGGAAGCGGCTGCAAGTGCTGATAATTGTATCAATTCTAATGTTATCAGATATAGCAATGCTCTTTAATTACCTTTATACTGTAAAATGAATGTTATGTTTTTCTCTGCACCTATATGCAACAGTCATATATGGAAGCATATAACTTCCCGCTAGTAATGATTAAGCATTTATATATGCATTTTTCTGACAAAATTCAAAAGCATGTTATTTGGTAATAAAATTTATGCTTCTAACTTTTTCTTTTTTATATATTAGTACTTTTAAAGAATCCAGTAATTTAATGCGGGGAAGTATGTGGCTATAGTTGCCTTACATGACCGAAAATATAATATGAGTTTAGTTAATTTGCTCATAATTTCTAAATTATTTATTTTAAAAATCCAATTTTGAAAATAACAAAAAAACGAATGTAACCTTGTTATACATTTCATAATAAATCGGTTTTCCTAGAACTTTAAAATATACTTTGTATGATTTGATAATATTAAATTATTATTTGAAACCTATAAATAAATCATAGTTAAGTGGAAACAGTACTTTTGTCTGCATATGACCAAAATAACTGAGGGGTATAGTACAATAATTATAACTGGTTCTTGCATTGTGTACCATAAATATTTTTATGTACCAGATAAACGAACCACTCTCTTCAGGTTCCCTTAGTAATCTCCATCCTGACAGAAATGTTAATTAAAAATTGTTGAATAATTAATGCACATACACTGCTATTTGCTTAGGAGACAGATGGTTTGTAGTTGTAGGCCTTCTTAGAGTAACTGATCATATTCATATACTATGTGAGATGTTAAGTTTAAATTATGTTGAATTATGTGAGAAGTTTAGCATTAAACATTTTGTAAATTATCCATATTTCAAAAGAATCAATCTTTTTAAGATTTGACTATCTTAATTTTCAGAATGTTGAAATTTTTTTCCCTCTTACAGGTTTAGATCATGATTAAATTTATGATACTCACCAACATAGTTTGCTTTACTGTATTTAGAATGTTTCACCAAAGATTGCTGTTCGAATGATTTTTTTGTCGTGGGCTATATTTCACCCCTCCTAAAGCTACTATTGCTCACATTGGCTCATTGATAATTGTTGTACTTACGCCAAGATTTAAACTCAACATCTCACATGAATATGAATCACATACCATAAAAAGGGCCTTCCACAAAGGCATCTGTCTCATAAGCAAATAGCTGTGTATGCTTTGCATTAATTAATCAAAAATTTTAATTTATTTATGCACTAAAATTTTTGGTAATTTTATATGCCATTTTCTGTATTGCATCATGTACTATATAATCTATCATGTACTATACTAAAAATTGGATTTAGATTGTTTTAAAACATTTATTTTTATACTTCTTCAACATATGGATTTTTTCTTTTTCAGAATTCCTAAAGATCCAACGTTAAGAGAAGCATGGATTCAGGCAATACGGCGTAAAGATTGGAATCCTTCTGCAAATGCATTTCTCTGTTCTGAACATTTTAAGGAAGAGGATTTCAATAAAAGATACGCTAGCCACCTTTGTACGCTTAAAAAGGGTGTTGTTCCGAGCATCTTTAAAGAATTTCCATCTTATTTGCAGAAAGTTCAAAAGGTATATAAGGATGTGTTTTATTTTTTAATAATATTAAAGCATAATTAACTTAAAACACCAATCAAGTATTAATTTAGAATTCAAACAAAATCACTGATTTTTGTTATTTAATTCTAAATTAATATTAAAGAATGTTTTATATGATTTAGTGATATATTATGAACAGTCCTCTTCAATTAATAACTGTCTTACCACTGTAAGGCTAGTGCTACGGTTTCTCACATCTGCTTGCAAATTTCAGAAATAAAACCTTTGAGGAATTTTTAATTTTTACTTCTTTGGCATTGCGAGATTGGAGGGCAGGGAGGATTAATAATCTGTTACAACGTTTGTAAAATTTCTTTAAGTATTAAAGTCGACATATAATTTCATTTGATAGCTATTCAAAGATTACAAGCTTATTTATTCTTACATCTGTTCCCACCCAGGGGCGTAGCTAGAGGGGGGCAAGGGGGGACATCTATCCCCGGGCACAGAATCCAAGGGGCGCCAAACTGATGTTACGAAATTTTAGAATTAAATGTTCCATCCTTGGCAAGCAGTAGGGGGCGCGAAATCTTCAGTTGTCCTCGGGCGCTGAAAACCCTAACTACGACTCTGTGCCACCAGCGGCCAAGCGGTTAAGTCGCTGAATAGTGGTAGTTCAGTCCGAGGTTCGAATCCCACAAACGGGCTGGGCTGCATGGGCGTTTCGTGGTTTTCCCCATGTGTAACGTGCATACGAGTCTGTTTCCCTTAGGAAAGTCCTCCACGAATGCATTCCTCCCTTTAGGCAGATAGCCCTCGAGGCTTTGTCATAATCACACACACACACAGTTCTTACATCTATAGGTTGCTGTGATTTATTATTTGTTTGCATTGAAATCATGCCATATCCCAGTTTTGTACATAAATTTTGATTCTTCATCTGTCATCACCATTACTGTTCCACCCCCTCAGTTTTCAACAATTTCAATAGTATATGTTTGTTCTCTATTCCAGTAAACTGCTTTACTTTCAATTTTTTATAAAATAAGTTTACTCTTCTTTCTTTATCTTAGAAGTGTGCTCTTCAGAGACATTTTTCGAAAGAATACGAGATTAAATTAGTGGATAAAATACGAGGGCTATCCAGAAAGTAGATTACGTTTTGGAATAAAAAAATAAACAAAGTATAGGAAACAAATTTTATTATATACAGATGAAAGCCACACTCAAATACTACTTTTCTACATAGTCACCATACAAATTAAGGCATTTATCGTAGCGATGTACGAGCTTGGAAATTCCTTCGTCGAAAAATTCGGCCGCTTGCGCCTTCAACCACTTCGTTACCTCTTCTTGCAGCTGTGCGTCGTCATCAAAACGCTGCATAGCCAGCCACTTCTTCATTGCTGGGAATAGGTGGAAGTCGCTCGGTGCCAGGTCGGGACTGTACGGCGGATGAGGAAACAACTCCCACTTAAAAGATTCAAGAACTTTACGAGTGACATTTGCCGTGTGGGGCCGGGCGTTGTCGTGAATCAACAAGATCTTAGAGCTCAACATTCCTCTGCGCTTGTTTTGAATTGCTCTTCTGAGTTTTTGGAGAGTTTGGCAATACCTTTGAGAGTTTATTGTAGTGTAGTGCCTCTTTCCAGGAAGTCCACCAAAATTACACCTTTTCTGTCCCAAAAAACAGTCGCCATCATCTTCCTTGCCGACATTGTTTGCATGCATTTCTTGGGTTTTTGGGGAGAACTTGTGTGCCCCCACTGCATTGATTGCAATTTCGTTTCACAGTTCACATGTTTCACCCATGTTTCGTCACCAGTAACGATGCGATCGAGTAAAGAGTCACCATCCTTATGGTAAGCCTCCAAAAAGTTCAACGCTGCAGCCATTCGCTGATTTTTGTGGTCCTCTGTCAAGATTTTTGGAATCCATCTTGCACAAAAACTTGTGGTAACCAAGCTTTTCGCTGATGATTTCGTGCAACAAACTTCGCGAAATTTGTGGAAAACTCAAAGAAAGTTCCGTTATTGTGAAATTTCGATTTTCACGGACTTTAGCATCGACTTTTTCGAGAAGTTCGGCGGTCACTATGCTGGGTCTCCCACTTCGATCTTCGTCGTGAACATTGGTTCGGCCATTTTGAAATCTTATGACCCACTGACGCACTCCACCTTCAGTGATAATGTTGTCCCCATACACTTCACGAAGCTGCCGATAGATTTCTATCGGTTTACAGTTTTTTGCAGTCAGAAACCTTATTACTGAGCGCACCTCGCAGCTCGCGGGATTTTCAATTAACGCAGACATTTCAAACCGTCACAGTATCTGAACGGAGCACAGCACGAACCTCTCACTAGCACGGCTAGATGCAGACTGAGCTGCGCAACGCTCTGACCCCAAGATGGCCGCGCTAGCCCCGCCCCTAGCGGACACAGACGGAAACGTAATCTACTTCCTGGATGGCCTCGAAGATTTAAAATATTTTATAGCAAAAGTTTTCCCTTTTTCATTTAAAATAAAATTATAATCATTAATTTTCAAAGAAGATCTTTGATTCATTCCCGGGGTGTTTCTTCAATTGGAGTGTCTTCTCCATTCTCTGGATGTAAATCAGTCCCGCTCTAACCTTGAAAGCATTCTGGGACGAGTCCTAATGGCTGATATATATTGGTAATCAAAACTTCGTATTTAGCAAAATGTTTTAATTTATTGTAGCAACTAATTTTCATTAATATATTCTCTCTGAATGCATGGATTCAGATTTTTTTTTAAATCAGTGTGAAACTCTATG